ACATATTTATTTAATTTTAGCATTATGTTAATTATATGACAAGGCATATTTTAAAAATTATTTTTTTTCATATCCAAATAATATCACATTTATACTACATTCATATCACTAAGGAACGATGTATTTATCTCTGGTGTATATTTTATTAACTTCCCGAAGAAGTAGATTATGTTTTCATAAAAAAATCCGATTCCATAATTTTATGTTTTCCCGACGTTTCAAACCATCGAATGAGACCAAATTTGGAAAAAGTGTATGTGTGTGTGTGTGTGTGAGTGTGAACAGATTTTTTGCCGTAAATCGACGTTTTCTCAAAAACGGCTGGACTGATTTCAAAAATTTAAAAACTATTCGATGTATCTCGATGAGGACTATCATTTATCGTTTGCGCGACGATCGGCCAAACCGTTTCTTTGTAAATAGCAGATAAGAGTAAATTTTTTTGTTTTAGCATTTCAGCCCGCAATTCTGAATCGACTTTACAAATTCAAAAACCGTTTGAAAGATATTGGGAATCGACCTGATTAGTTTTTGATAAAGATCGCCCGGGCCATATTCTTGTAATAAAGTGTTAAAAAATTTTTTTTCGAATATTTCTATGATTTTTTTGACGGTAGATTCCATAGCCTTATTATAGATCATACTAAAATATTACGGCCCTACGACAAGTCGTTTAATTTTAAAAATTCTTCAAAGTTTGCAAAAATTAGTATCGTTTTTTTGTCATTTTTCAAAAATAGACCTTTCATCGACATTTGCCCAAAAACGCCTGAACCGAGTTTGGAAATATAAAAGCCATTGTATGTATCTCAGTGAGGACTATCGTTTGTCAGTTTTGTGCAACGATTTGCCAAGCCGTTTCTTTGTAATTTGGAAAAAAGTGTTAAACTTTTCGACCACATTTAAGCACAAACTACCGAATCGATTTTAAAAAATCAAAAACTGTTCGAAAGATATTGGTTGGGTATGATAGTGATTTGTTTTAGGCGAAAATCTACTGAGCCGTTTTCTTGTAATTCGTTTTTGAAAAAAAAAATTGAGTCGATTTTTATGAAACTTTTTTTGGCGATATATATCATTGTCTTGTAGAACCATACTGAAATATTACGGACTTATGACAAGTAGTTTAAATAGTAAGTTTAGTAGTTTAATTTTAAAAATTTATCAAAGTTTGAGAAAATAAGTAGATTTTTTGACGTTTGTTAAAATTAAAATTAGACGATTTACTTGGTATAACGATAGAGTACTCACTCCTAATGAACATACTAAACCATTAAAGTCCTACCGAAACTGGTTCGATTATAAAAGTTATTGATTTTTGAAAATTTGCTTTTTGAGAATACTTTGAGTTAACGTGTTCGTTCGTTTTCAATTATGTGTAATAAATCCACTCGAAATACTTTTAATCACTCATAAATTAATTTATGTTTCATTGATTAAGTCCATTATTTACACATAAACAAAAAGTTCATGTAACTTGCCTGAAGGAAAAATACCAATACCAACTAATTTTAGAATTATGTTGATTATATGACATATTTTAAATATTATTTTTTCATATTGAAACAATATCATATTTATACTATGTATATGTATGTATTTTATTCTAAATTACCTATAAAGATCTTACTAATCCCATTATTTCATTGTTTCAGGTTGGTTTCTTTCCAAAAGATTATGTAAGAGAGACTCGACATGTAAGTGATTATTAGTGATAATCAAAATGAAGAGCTTATCGGGTATGTGTGCATTTGTTTTGATTTTAATTATTATTTGCAGAAAATTTGTACAATTTTAGAATCATGTTTATTCATACTCATGCTTTGACTTTTGCAGTAATGCGAATTTTTTATTTAGTTGTCGAACATTGGAAACATCTATTGTTTGTTATAGATATAATTTTAATTTTCGACATAGTCATTTTATGTCGCTGACAATATATTTTTACAGAACATATTCTCAATGTTTTATAATTCAAATAACGTTGTGCTATGAACAATTTACAATTTTAGTTGTGACAATTTTAATTAAATAAAATAATACTTATCATCATATTAATTATTGAAAGGAAATGGTTGGCATTGTATTTTTATTAAAATTTAGATTGTTCAAAAATGTATAATGCCAGCAGGAAATTTTTATTTTTTGTATTTACTCAATACAATTTAAAGATTTAGAATGTAACATTTATCTATAATACTTATGATTGTATCTGTTGCATATTTATATTTACAAGAAGCTTGAAATTTATGTGGTATACCATTTCATAATATAGTGAATAATAATAGATATATAAATTCTATAGAAAATTATGTATCTATTAAGTGAAATAATGAGTCTAAAAATGTTAGTGACTGTAAAATGAAAAGAAAAACTTAATAGTTTTTCAATAGATTAAAATACATACTAAATTGATTGAATTGCTCACATAGAATATTTAAATTTCTGAATTCAAATGTGAAGTGCAAAATTAGTTAAATGTATACATTTTTCTAAAATGTATATAAAGCTTCATGCAAATGACATGAACTCTCTCTCTCTCTCACACACACATATATATATATATATATATATATATATATATATAATTATATTTGTATACATACATACGCCCTAATTAAGAAAAGTGCCAAAGGTCTAATTAGTTTTTCAACTCTGATTTGTAATACAATTCGGTGTATAAAGCGCATTCCACAAAATTTGAAATTATTCATACATATCTAACACGTCCATTTACTTAATTTTTCTTGTAAATATATTATTAACGGAATATATTAAAATACAGATTATTATATATTGAAAATATAGATATATATGCATTTAATTGATTCTAAGGAAAATATATTTTATAAAGTACATTTTTGATGAAATCATAGTAACTTTTAAATACCATACGAAAATATTCAAAGACTTTACCAATAATATGATTTGAAATAAATAATAGCATTGCTTATTTTATTAAAGGGTTTTTTGCAATTGATTGAATGCTATTAAAATTTAGCGTAAACTATATATTTGCGTTTCGAATATTTAATTTTTTGTTTACTATAATTTAAATGATATTTCGAATATGATTGTGAATTTACACTAAAATTAATTTCAAAATGTTTACTAGCGGATATTAATTTACTACGAGGTATATTATAGTTTTCACTTCTACCATTGAAGCAAAATATGATATACTTATAATAATCTGAGGTATTTTTATTTAAATTAAACTATACATTATAACATCATTTGCCAACATTAATTTCAATATTAGTACTATATTTAAAACAAGCATTAATTTTAATAAAATATCGACTGATGAGTAAGTGGCCCATTTAACAATGGTATCGAAATATTTTTAAGTCCAATATGAATTTATAGCTTTTTATCTTTACATTTGAATTACTTACTTGTGGATCGATACACCGCTGAAAATCATACTTTTTCTTTTAAAATCTTGCTTAATATTAAATGCCTGCAAATTGCGATTAGCCTGTGCATAATTTTTTTCTCTAGTGATATTAGATTTATGAATAATGAATCGTGTCATGGTTAAAAAGAATCTATTTTTTATATTCTTTTTTTGTACAATGTTACTAAAACAATATCGATAGTTTAAAAGCATGTGGACATATTTTTAAGTTATTGAATTTTTAAAAAAAAGTTAATATAAGCCCAAATTAAGAATTTGGTAGTCAATTGATTGCATAAACGTTATTTCGAATAATTTTAAATTTTATGCAAATATTATATTCAATGCTATCATGCGTGTTCGAAAAATATATAATATTTATATGATTTAAATGTGAATATATTTATGTGTATAAACCTTGACTATAGAAATTAAATTCAAGAGTTGTTAATGTTGAAAATGCTTAACGAAAATACAAAGTAAATATAATACAAGTGAGTTTTTGATTTTTTAAATTATTTGAATTTATTTTTTGTTTGTTTTAAATGTTACGGTAGACAAATATGCTATTTCGTTACTTAATCGATTATAACTCGTTCAAAATTAGCTGATTTTGGACAAAAATCGATAACAATTCAGATATTATACAATCTTAAAAGATAGGTGGAATTCTATAGTGTTATGAAATAAGTAGAGAAATAGAAAAATTTCATTTATTAGTACGGAACCCGACCTTTATAAAATTTATATCATATTTATGCAATATTTTAAGTTTATGAGATTATTAATTAAAACACGATTTTGATTATTAGCGGGTACTGATCAAAATTACTCAAATTATTTTAGCTCAGAATAATTTCTTATAATCTTATCCTAAGGTAGGATTTTGAAATAGATATATTTAATTTTAATAATAAATTAAATATATCTATTTCAAAATCCTTTTTAAATTTATTAAAAATTAAATATATCTATTTCAAAATCCTTAAGAGCTTAAATATTATGAGTAATTTTGATCAGTACCCGCTAATAATCGAAATTGTATTTTAATAATTAATCTCATAAACTTAAAATATTCCATATATATATGATATCAAACACCATAGAGTATAAAGAAATTACAAAGTTGCTGAAAAAAAGTATTAAGTAATAACTAAAATAGTGCTATTATTTGTTTGTATGATCCATTATCATAGTTTATTATGCATTATTCTAATTTGGATAACTAATGCCTTTCAAAACCTTCATAAAAATTGGAATATTCCAATCGAGTAATCTATTGCTATTATTGCAAATATTTTGAGAATTCATACATGGCCTAAGACCAAATTGATAAAAAAATCATAAATTTTAAATTAAGTCAAAGTTAATCAGATTATGTACTACTGGTATTTCTGGAATAGAAAAGATCAACAGTTGTTAATAAAACTAATCTAATTAAAAATTAGAAAGTGCACCTTATAACAACAAACATATTTTTATTAATATTATTGATTATATATAAAAAAAGTATTTGGATAATATACAAGAACTTAATACAATTTTATAATAATAATTAACAACAGAATAACATTAAGTTTTATGTTTTAAATATTTTGGAGACTAATTATAAGTGTTGTCGGTTTTACAGAGGGGCACATGTTCCAAGGCGCACAAACTGAATATCTGAAATAATAAAAATAGTTTACAAACGGAATAGAGATAAATGAAAATATAATTATAAGTTCAAAAAGTTTTGTTGAACTAAAGTTCGTGGCACTCATATAGATAGTGGAGAACAAGAACATTGTAAACCGTACGTTTAAATTATAATTTGTTTGTAGTAACTGTTACATTATCTTTCAGCATCCACACCGATATGACAATCCACACCGATTGTCATATTTGTCTTACTATACTTGAGCAATATTTTTGTTTACTTTTTATTATTATCTAGCAATATACCATGCACTGAATCATATTTGAGATCTATAATCTCAAGTGAAAATCTGTTGGCCGAGATTGGGATCGAACCCGGAACTATTGATGGTCTACAAAACCACGGCTTACTTTTGGTCCGGGTGCTAGCAACGTTTTCGAGAAAGAACTTTAGGCAGGCTGATTTCTTGATATGTGGTCCTTGGTGCTCTGTGAAAAGAGCACAATGACCGCATACCAAAAAATCAGCCAGCCTAAAGTTCTTGTTTTGAAAACGTTGCTGCCTCCTATACTATTTATTTACATAACACATTTGACAAATTAATTTTCAAACCTTCGGATGTACAACTATTTTGACACATCAGCCTCTGTCTATTGTGATAGGTGTTGCCATCACTGGCACAAACAGGATTATATTCAGGAGTTGTGGAACATCTAGCAAGACATGCGGCCAATTGTGGTGAAGGCGGCATTGCAACTGTTGGATCCGGGAAGGAACTAAAAATGGTAAGAAATATAAATGTGGACGAAAATGTTTAAATACTTTCAAAATTAGTCTTTTATTTTATTTGCCGTATTCTATATTCGGCATTTAACATTTAACCTCAACGAGGATTGGATTGAAAATAATCTAATATCCCAAATTAGAATTGAAGTGCCCTAGTTTGCGAATCAGGTGAAAATGCAATAAATTACTAACAGTTTTAGTCGGTTTTAATAATAGGTTCAAATTTTAAAATAATTTAAAAAACATACATTTATAAAGACATTCATGGATTCATTTTAGGCATAAAAGATCATTTTCGGATCTTTTGATATATGAATGTTATAGCAATACATTGATTACAAATATTTGTGATTAAATAATAACTATCTTATCTCTATAAATTTTTGTAAGTTATATTTTATTGCATGTATAAATACTTTTTTCAATTTGTACCGTGATTTATTTGAATTACTTAAGCCTAATTTTAAATTTAGGAGTTTTTATTCATACTTAGTATCATCAGATGATGAAGGAGGTGGTCTTCTCGTGGTAGTTCTTATCAAAGAAGGCTGCTGGGTGTTTCCAATTGGTCTTGAAGTCTGTGTTTGGCCCCAAGACCAACCCTGTCGTCTAAAACGATTGTATGGCGCAACATAGCTTATAGATACACCTGTTGATAAATAAACCATGAGGCATAATTTATTATACAAGAACTGATTTTATAGAGTTATTGGATTTTTTGTGCAGCAAGTCGTTCAATTTTAAAAATTCATCAAAGTTTGAAAACATGAGTAGCATTTTTGACGTTTTTTAAAATTAGCTCTTTCATCGACGTTTTCTCAAAACCGGCCGAACCGACTTCAAAAATTTAAAAGCCATTTGACGAAACTTGGTAAAAACTCGCGTTGGTTAGTTGTTTGATACAATCGCTTTGGTATAAAAAAACGACTTCCTTAAAGTTACCAGAAAAATGAGTTTTTAGGCCGAGTTTTACCCAAAAATTCTAATTCAAATACTATTCGAAAGATATTGGGTATCGTGCCGATTGATTAGTATAGGTATTGGACAAAGATTGACCTTTTTTTTTGTAATTGATACGTGAGAAAAAAAAACTATGATTTTAATGATATTTGGTATGGGATTTTTAATGATTTAACAATTTAGTCCAACTTCGAATTAGTATTTTTCTTATTATTTGATCATGTTGTGATATTTTAGATTTGAGTTGTATAGATATTGGAATATAATAAGAATTAGTAACAATCCAGTCGGAATGTAACAAGAACTAATAATTGTCGAACAATACATATATATATATATATATATATATATATATATATATATATATATATATATATATATATACACACGTTAGTACAAACATCTAATTATCAATTTACATTGATAAGTATACATCTGTACGTATGTTATTATCAAAAATTAATACGGTCAGAGGTTAATTTATGGGTTTTTCTTATCAACAAAGATTTCTATGAAATCATTAAAAAAGCAAGGTTTTGTTGTACATAAATTATATAAATTTGACATAATATAAACACATTATTTTAATGTAGAAAACGAAATACAATAATATTATCAAGAAACTTCATATAAACCAATTTTGAATCTTAATCATAATAGTGATTTATTTTGTGAATACTAGAATAATAACAATTACTTATTATCTTATATTATGCTATATCATAATATTTTGTACTTAATACGAACTTGAGTGAATATAATAATTCAGATTTCATATTGAAATCTGAATCAGATTTTATATTGAAATAGTATTTTATCTTGTTTTAGATTAAATAAAGAAGTGGAAAACAGTAGGAAAAACTTAAAAATGCACTCTAGACTAGCTGTTTAGAGTGCATTAGAGTCTAGCTTTAGATGCATCATTTGATTTACTTCTTCGAAATTTGAATAATTTAAATTATTATTATATCATAAAAAATATATAACTTAATTTCAACAGTTTTAAAATTATATTTATTTAATTTATGAAGTAAATTTTAGTTTATAAAGTAATCAAGAAAAATATTATGTTTAACACTCGCATCGATACAATCGCAATCGCACGCTTTATTTCTGAATTTTATTGACTAACACTCAGTAATATATATATATATATATATATATATATATATATATATATATATATATATATATATATGTATATATGTATATACGTATATTTATATGTGCATGCAATCCGAGAGAATTTTAAAACGGTTATTGAAGATCTTGCATTGGAAAAGTTCGTTAAACGCATTGCAGTGGAGTGAATGAACGGATGATAGTAGGTACCCAAAGTACTATAAGGTTTTATCCGAATATAAAGTCACTCATTTTTTAATCATTAAAAAATACATATATTTAAGCAAAAAAAAATATTATTTATTTGATGAATTTCTAGAATTAATAGAAATTGTTCATATGATTATTATTATCATATGAACTTAACATTTAAAAGAAAAATATATAGACCTTGATTATAAAATATTCTATATTATTTGTCCTTGTGCACTTCATGAAAGCGTGAACAAGTGCGCATCATAAATATGAAATTTCTAATAAAATATTCATGAATATTTAATTTGCAATATATTTTAAATTACTAACAATTTTTACTAATTTATCTAAGTGATTAATATTTTAGATAATAATTATTATCTTATAAGCTTTTTACGATAAATATTATAGGGGTAGTACTTATGTAGTATTTATTATAATTTGTGGATTGATTTTTCATTTATTTTTTCTGCGCTTCATTGGTACAATGGTAAACATTTAAAATACGATTTATGCTTATAAGTTTAGTGAATGTAAAATTTCATATGAGTGTTTAATAAAGAAAATAGATTTTATGATTCTGAAGAAGGGGCATCCCATGCCCCTGAAACGCAAGAAATATTGATGAATGAGAAATTAATTAAAAAATATTTTTTGTACATATGTTCAAAATATTTAAAGCTAAGTCTAAATAATATATAAATAGAATATATTATTTATTTCAGCAACAAAATTCATATACATATGTATATGAATGCGAATGCGATACGTTGCGCTTACCTAAAAATACTATAATGAATATGAATTTCATTGTCGCTGTCTTCTTGTCAAACTATCTCACAAACACATGCAAATATCACTTTAATTTTATATATGTTCAGATAAATTTTACACTTAAAATATTAAATTTCTATTTAATTTTATAAAGAATTTACACAAAAGATGTTTTTAAATATATAATTCAAGTTCAAATGATAACAGTTGTAAGAAACACAGCGTTGGGAAGAAGCTGCTAGTGACTAATGATCTTAGTGTAGCATGATAAATATTGTTTATCAAGTTTTTATAAATTACATGGAATAAATATTTTTCTTACACAAAAAACAAGCAAACAAAAGTAAATATTAATTGAAATACGTATTGAAATTGGATGGATATGGATTTGGATACTGGATGTTGCAGTTGCAGCATCATTATTGCGGTTCTTGTACAGAGCATTGGAGTAGGAAGCAATAAAATTTAAATAAAAAACTACTATAAATGAAGGAGTAGGGGGGATAAAAATATTTATTAAAAATGAACTTCTCAGGTAAGTTTCGTAGTTTAATCTTTTTCCCACTATATGCAATACCCGTTTGACAACTTTTGTGTGTACGAGTGCCGTCTATGAACATCCACTGTCTCGATTTCAAAATTTATCATTATGAGTTAAACTATTGTGTATTCTAATTTTTTATTGTGGGTTTTAGTTATTTAGAATTGCATTTTTTATTTATAAATACATATTCATTGATAATGATTGGAAAATCTCAAAACATTCGTGAAACAAATACTTAGGCAGCTTTTTAGCTTGGACACTCTTGCAGAAACCACCGCCGTAATTAGAGAGTTAAATAAAATTTACTAATTTAAGTGTACTATTTCAGTAAATATAATTTATAAAAACTATGTCAGTAAAGTATCTAAAACTCGTTACTGAAATGATATTATTTTTATTTTTATTCATTACTTTTTTTCTCTGGATTTTCTATTATTTTTCGGTTGCTGAAGTTTAACGATTTGAATCTGAAACAAAAGTGTTTCAGGCTAATCAACTTATATAAGCATATGGATGTATAACCCTTTCAGGTTAGGGTGGTCCTTAATGTGGATATTTTTGAAATTCTTTTTACCCATGGACTCAAATGTTTCCAAATTGATAAAAAATTCTGTGAATGTTTTAAATATTAATATTAACCTTAAGATAGTTCCAACAAAAGTTTATTATGGAAATAACATGGGAAAATTCAATCTGTTTTCTAGAATTTTATAACTTAGCGGCAAATGAATGAAAATGCGAAATGCGCCCAGTATACACTACATGTTGCCGTAATGAAGCTTGTGGGTTACAAAGTTATATAACAAATGTAATATAAATGTTATATAACAATAGATTTAAAAAATGAATTTTTTCAGTAAACATCGAATTATTTTACAAATCTTATGTCAGCCCTGAGAAATTTCCGCTTTTGAAAAAAAACGCAAATCAAATTATGATAAATTCTTTTTTTGAAAGTACGTATGCGCGCGAACAATTACACAGGTCCACAAAAGAAAAGTCGCTGGATAATAATTAAATTTCATTCAGAAAAAAATCTAGATTGAAGATTGTGCCAGTTTTTAAATGTTTTTCAATATTATGTGCCCCAATTTCAACCAAAAAATTCATAAAAAATCACCATGTATCAAAGCTGGGTAAAACATATCAAAGCTGCATACGCGTTGCATTTCGCATTAAAAAAAAATTAAAATAAAGAACAAAATCTAAAAAAACGGCTGATATTGATCAGCTTATTTAAAAAAAGCAGTGCTAAATTAAATTAAAGTTTTCAATTAAAATTTTTTTTTATTTAAATATTATTTGTTTTTATTTTGTATTAATATTTATAAAAACTTATAATATACACTTGGAATTATATAAAATATATACTTTGTTCAATTTTATATTTTTGTTCTTTTTTGTGGCAATTTTGTAATTTTGTTGCCGTTACATTATTCCCGTACTCAGTCAATGAATGTTTTGACTTAATTTTAGATAAGTCTTTTATCAGAGTTTATGAAAAAGCTTCAATTTTATTAAAAAAAACTATTTATTTTTATCATGGCTTGTAAGGCCATAACAATTTTTTTTTAAATTTCGTTCTTTATTTTAATTTTTTTATGCAAAATGGAAAACTGCAGATAACTCCAAATTTTTATTATTTTATAATAAACATTTTAACAGTCCAATCATTTTTTATTTAGATCGGTAATCGATCAATTAACTATTATCGTCTTTTTTGTGAACGTTTTTAATTGAAATTCGATCAAGATTTTTCTGATCTTATAAAAAAGCTTAAATTTATCCGCTCTCTCCGCTGCAACATTTTAAAAATGGCAACGAAATGGTTACCTCCGATAAAACTAACTGATTAGCAGGCTTATCCCATTGTACAAATATTTCTCGATGTGCATAAGAAGTACATCGTTTTTGAATGTCTCACAAAAGGAGCTATTTCAGCAAAAAAATTAGAAATTTAATTTTAAAATCAAGAGACAAAACTGTTTTTGAGAGGAAACTGGATTTTTTTTCAGAGTATAACATAATTGCAATATGGATGTTAGTATTTTAGCGTTGCAGTGGGTAAAATTA